GCGCAAACTTTAGTGCCCTGTTCACGAAGAAGTTTCTGTCTACATTGCCAATGGATCTTCGGGTATTTGCTGCGAGCCGCAATCTAGATATCATTGATCGCGGCCTGACATCTCTTGGACCACGGGTTGACAGACACATGTTATCTGAATCGGATACTTTCGATGACATGCGATTGTTCTTATCTAAGAAACTGACGGAATTGGATCGCTTGGACCGTGGCGAGGATAGGGAAGCAATGTGCGAGAAGATCCTTCGAAAGGCCAATGGCTCATTCCTATGGCTGCGTCTTGTCTTGCAGGAATTTGAACATGCCTGGACTGAAGAGGCTATGAACGAAGTGCTTAACGAAGTCCCGGCTGGCCTTCATGATATGTACTCGCGTATGGTGCATTCGATCGAAGGAGACGCACGTAGGCTGGCTCTCGCGCGTTCTATTCTTCTTTGGACTGCCGTGGCTTCTCGCCCCCTTTCGCTAGACGAGTTATGTTGTGCCGTAAAGCTCGATTTGAACCAGACTTTGCACAGTTCAGACAAGGCTATTCCTAGCTTGTGCGGACAGCTTGTGTTCGTCGACCAGGACAACAAAGTACATCTAATTCACGAAACTACCCGAGAATTCCTCGTTTCCGACTGCCCATCCCCTAACCTCGCTATTGACGAAGCGTCCGCGCATGCCCATCTCTGTTTACGGCTACTGCGGTATCTTTGCAAAGACTGGGCTAATGCAATCCGAGAACGGCATCAAGGCCCTACCAAGTCCAAAGGGTTTGTTAAGGCTCAGATTGCTACTGACCAGTTTGACAAATCTCTCGTTGACTACGCATGTACCTTCTTCTCGGATCATTTATATAAGTCCTCTTCAACAGATAACGACTTAACCGACGAACTCTGTACCTTCTTCCGCGGGAATCATGTACTGGATTGGATCGATTACGTCGCCAAAAGTCGCGACTTAAGCATAATCACAAGAACCGCCATGAATTTACGTGGTCATTTGGCTCGTCGAGCAGAACACACAGAGCCCACGGACACCGCCCCCCATCTTATAGATTCCTGGGTAACCGATCTAATCCGTGTTACGGCAAAATTCCGTTCCCAGCTCTTGACTTGCCCATCATCAATCCACTCAATGATCCCGGCGCTCTGCCCCCCAGATTCGATGATATCGAGAGCCATGCCATCAACTTCCCGCCCATTTACTCTCGTTGTGAAAGGAATGCCCTCTGGGACTTGGGATGATTGTCTTTCAAGGATAGACATTCAAAAAGAACCAGCAACCGCTCTTTGCCACGGCAATCGCTACTTTGCTATTGGGTCATCTACTGGCCAAATATGGCTGTACGATAGCGACACTATCCAAAATAGATCTACCATGGCCCATGGCGAGAGAATCAGTTTCCTTCTTTTCAGCCCTGATGATCGGTATCTAATGTCGTGCGGGCCGAAGAATCTCATTTTCTGGAGTTTAAGATCTCTAGAGTCGGTCTATTCATTCCCAATCCAGGGACGTCCGCTTCAATTCGCATTCATGAGTAATACTGAGCTCCTTGGGTCGCTCCAACCGTATCAGGTTGTAAAATGGTTAGTGCCAAGTGCCAACAAAAACTATTATTCAATGACTTTTAGACTGACTCCTACGAAGGGATCTGGATACTGGCAGACAGGAGTCGGTATCGTGGGCCGAGCGGGGCGATATGCACAACGAATCCTTGGACTCACCCCGGACTATTCCGGAAGTACCACCCTCCCGCGCGGCTTTCATGACAGCTACAGATGAAGTGCTTCTCGCTGTCGGGTATCGGATTCACCCTATTCATATATGGAATGTCTTGGACCTCCAACTCCTAGGAACCTGTTCTCTCGAGGGGATTAATGGCATTGACGACATGACATTCAACCCAAACCCGGAAATCCCAGTTCTGGTCGTATCGTACAACGACGGTCGATTGTGTTTATTCAACTACCTAACCATGGCATCCGTGTTCACAAAATCGAATGCCTTTGCGATGTCACTCTCCTGTTCCCAAGATGGTCGAACCTTGGCAAGTGGTGAATGCGATGGGATAATCAACGTGTTCAACTTCGACAAAGACTCTGCTGGCCAGACTACTCTCGTCCCTATATACAGAGTGAAAACCCCGGACCACTTCATCAATCGTATAACGTTCAGTCCCGATGGGCTTCGTATTCTAGATTTACAGAGCCGACAATGCCAAGTATGGTCACCCGCGGCTCTCGTCCGGAACAACAACGAATCACAGAGCGCGAGTAAGGCGTTGACACTTGCACCTACTACGAAACGGGTGTTTGGCATCTCACTTGGTCCTGACATTACTAGCCCGCTTTCCGTGTCAAGTGATGGGCAGTACATTATTGTGGGTAAAAGCGGAGGTGTTTCGCTATTCTCTACAGAGGACGGGAGGGATCTCGGTGTTCTCTACCAACATTCTGGACGAGTGTCCGTCAAGAGAGTTGTGATTAGGGAAGCACACAACTTGGTCATTTCCGCCGATGATTTCAGCGACGTACTTGTCGCTGAGCTGCCCATGCCGCTATCAAACCTCGCTGCTGATTCTAAACTGCATCGACAAAAATTACCTCCTTCGCGAATCTTGCTCAGTCAACGGGCAGGTGTTGCCGTGAGGCATCTACTTGTCAACGAGTCTGCAGATCGCATTCTCATCATTAGTCGCAAGGTTACACTGCTTTGGGAGCTGCCGTCTGGTCGACAAGTCTCGAAGCATAACCCTTCGAGCGACCAGGAATCTACGTCACAGAGTCCGCCTAACTCTGAATCCGCGAACAAGTTGACAGCATTCCAGCATCCGAAAAACGGGGCTTGGTTCGTTATCGTGGCAGGAGACATTGCTCGCATCTTTAACTGGGAGGATCATGCCGAACTGACGGCCAAGCAAGGCATACAGTTGCAGCGGGCTAAAATCCCAAGCTCCCGCGTCCGCCGTCATGACTCGAAAGTTGACCAAACTATAAGTCAACAATTCTCAAACCTATCTCGACTTCCGCCGGTCTTATTTTACCACACCGGGCCTCAGGTAGTCGTTGAGTCGTTACGATATTCCAAGTGGGGATCTCTTTGCTTTACAGTTTGGCCGACTGCAGTCTTCGACCCTGCCTCATCTGTGGCAAAGCCCTTGGCAGATGAAAATCTATCAACCATTACCCCAATGATATCAGCCGTTGTGGGTATCTTGGGGACGTCTACTCTAGTATTTCTTGACAACGACATGTGGGTCTGTAGCGCGAACCTTGAAACTCTTGGGGACGGCGCTATCCCCGAGACAGGGCGATCCCCACCACTGACTGCTCATGCCCAGCGGCATTTCTTTGCGCTCAGCGAGTGGCGGGAAGCGGGCAAAGGTTTGAATTGTACTCTAGTCAATGTCCCAAGGGCTGCTTCAGTCGGGAGCAAGGCGGGAGATGTTGCATTCGCGCACGGTCACAGGTTAATTGTTGTGAAGGAGGGGTTTAAGTTTGCTGAGAATGTTATTGCTGTCTCAAGAGAAGAGATGAATACGGACCATGACAATGGAGTGGAAACTCACAGGGGTCGAATCAACCAGGGTGGGCAAAGCAGCTGGGTAGCGGTATCTGAGAGTATTGATGGGTAGACTATCATATCGAATGCGACTTGAAGTTTCCGATCGATCAGAAAGCCGGTATACATCCAGGAGTATATTACAGGGCAGAGTCCTTATATCACAATTATCTACATTGGTTCGGGAACGTGAAACAATCCTTTTAATGATGATCTTGCCCGGGGATTCTTCATCCTGGAGAAACAGGCAGGTGAAAGAATTCCTAAACATATTTTCCTTCCAGGTTCCAGATCTAAATTGCGAGAAGAAAGGGAAGGGAAGAAAAAAGTCAAAACCTAAAATAGATAATGCGCATAAATAAAGGGGGAAAAGAAAAGAAAAAGGAAAAGAAAAAGAAAAAAGCTCGCTCGCGGGTTGCTCCCAGGATCGAACCCCGTTTGCTTCCCACGAGCTACGAAAATTGCAACTTTCTAACCTTCTGAGCGCTCCAATGACCACTTGGCCACTGACCGTACTGTCACCACTGCTTGAGCTGCTCGGTCGGAAGTTGTTGCCATCTCACCATACATAAAGTTATGCGTGAGGAGCTGTACAATCGAGGAAAGACCAGATGGGTGTGGGCCCCTTCCCTGGAGTTGGCCTGCAGCATACGTTCTCATAATTAATTCTCGGCTACCTAAAATGATCAACAACCGGGGTGGAGCATTTTGATGTAGGAGTGATGTCGATTGTCGAATCACTTTAGCTATGTCTTCAGTATGAAAGATTAGAGTTTTAACCAAGGCCAGCTCGAGAAGGTTGTTGCTGGCATTATGGTTGCAGTTCTGCCAACGGCTATTCCAAAACCGTTCTGCGGCATGAAGCTAAGTGTTTCGGGCAACATGGGCGTTGAAGGGCGTCGAACTCTCGATAGGGAGTGAAGGCTCAGCCCAACTTAGCTTGACCTCGCTTCCATCGCGAGCAACCACGGAGCACGAGTCGTCGGTACACCGCTTTTCGTTATTACTGGTCGCAGCCATGTCCTGAAAATCTGCCTGCGCAGCACTAGGTCCGACGATTGGCTACTTTGCATCTTCCACATCCTCCTCTCGACGTACCAGGGATTCTGAGGATAGTGACAAGGAGGTGCAGTATGAAGTACTCATACATGCAAACAACATTAAATCACTAAATTGCGCAAGGTACTACTACTCTTCCTACTGAGCCTGGTCATCATGCAGCCCAAGCCTGATCCCAGTTACCGATCAGCTCTCCGATTGGACCCTCGTCTGGGGCCCCTTGGCAATTTTGCTCCACCGATAATGCCTGCGATTGGCTGAAGCTCTTCGGCTTCGTGTAACGAAGCCTGCCTCATCGCAGTATATAGAGGCAGGTTTGTCCCTCGTCCCAGAGCATTTCCCGCCCGTTTATCATTAAGAAATCAAGCCTATTGACTCAATAAGATGAACTTCTTCAATATTCCCGAATACCCCTTTCCCCCTTTTGTCGAAGGTGATGAACACCTCAATCATACCGAAGCGCCGCCGCCACATACTGGACCCTCCCCCAGTGCGGACTTCGATCCGATGACACTCGACTTGTCCGAGGTTGCGTTTCTGCAAGAGGCTGATTCAGCTGTGGTTCAAGATTTCATGGACCTCGACAGTAATTGTGCGTTGCTAATGGTTGCCGCGCCCCCGTGGAGGCTTGAGAGACTGACATGGCTGTATTCCGTACAGCGAATATCCCGACCTTGGAAGATCCCTTTATAGAATCGAATACTGAAGCTCCGATGAACTACTTGGGCCCGCAAGCAATGCATCCACTTCCCTTTTCGTCATTCCCCTTCCCGGAGGCTGGAGGAAGTTGGCTGGGAAGCATGAACGCACTCGATGTGGGGATGTTGGCCGCTGAGCCGATGGATATTGGCGAGGCTGATCTTACCTTCATGCCTTTACCTCCTACGTACAGTGATATCGCTGGACACGCGTTTCAGCCACCTGTGGACAGTTTTGATCCGACATTGGTTCTCAACACAGGGCCTCAAGAACCGGTGGTGGCCCAACATCTTGGTACGTTTAAATTTGCTAGCCATCAACTCTTTTTATACTCAGGATTAACGGCCTTGGTCAGACAACGTCCGCCTCCCAACTATGATGGTCAACTCAGATGAGGGAGCTTTTAACCAGCCCGATCCCGACGCAATAATGGTTCTTGGGCCACCCTTGATAGGGGATACTTCAAGTGACGAGATACCTCATAGGATTTCCACACCAGTAGGCCAGGTGATGCCACAGAAAGATCCACTTCCCAGACAGCACAAACCCTTACTGGCTGCTAGAAGGGGTGGGAGATGTGGCCCCCTTTCCGTAGCTCAGAAAAAATCACAGAAGGAAGCGCGGGAGAGAGGCGTGTGCATTCGTTGCCGAAAATCAAGAATCAAGGTGCGTTAAGGTCTAGACTCCCTTCCGCTTTCATTCCATGCCCCCTACTGATGGATGTTATTTCCTAGTGCGCTGGAGGCATCCCTTGTAATGGCTGCCTATCCAGTTCGAAAAATTCTAGAATCTGGCGGGGGCCATGTACCAAGGCTGACTTCTTAGAGATCGTTGAATGCGGATCCGTCTTTAGCGGTAAGTTGTTAGCCGACTCCCTACTGACAAATTGTTTTCTGATTCTGATGTATTCCTACTCTTTATCATCCAGACATTGCCCAAAGCCAGTCCGGGATTCTTGGTACGGATGAATCGATGGTCAGAATCCAGTTCGACTTGATGAGCAGGCTTGGAGAACAAAATAGATCTCTTCCTGGTACTCTTTTCCCGTTTGAAATACCATGTTTCCTAATATGGAGATTTGGTGCAATCGGGGTTCGGCAGCTTTTCTTCTCAAGCGCTGGGGATGCATTTGAAAAGCCAAATGCGTCCAAACTCGGAGAAACAGAGAAAAAGCTCGTCGAACTTGACCCTTTGGGAAGGCTTGTTGCATTCCCAGTAGGTCTGCAGGACCCAGAGAAGGATCATTGGATTGTGAGTTGTTCTGAAATACTCCGAGAGCGATGCCGAACTGACTTTAAGCATAAGCGCACTGCTTGTTTGTTTTGCAGCCTCCCAGGAAGCCCTGGAGCCGCCTTTTTTGATTGCGGACTTCCGACTCTCCGTCGCCTATTACCTGCGAATATTCATTGCAGGAACGTGACCGTCATGGAGGAAACGGTCAAGTCGCTGACCTGGTTCAGCCGCCGATATGTCGAGCTCTGCTTGTTCCGCTTCTTGCAATCGGAGGCTAATAGTGGCGGGAAGGTTTCTGAGGGGCGAGGAACATACGTCTTGTGTATGATGGTCGTTTTAATCACGTTGTCAGTAAATGGCTGGAAGGTATGTTCACGGAACCCTCCCCATTCTTGCGATCCATTTTCAATTCATCAATTTCTTCCAATCTCTCACTAATAACGCTCTCTCTGCCAGGCTGAGATCACAGCTCCTGATTCCGCCAAAGCTGACTTTATTGATCGACTGAAGCGTGTTCGCATGGCGCTTTGGATCTATATTTCCATTTCGATTGACAAACTTCCGGCCTGGACGAACTTCTGGCAGTCCTCTCTACCCAAAGAGCTCAACGCTTTGCATTTGACGACTCTTTTTCAAGATAGCCTGACAGAGTTTGACACCGAGGTGAATAATATCGGAGAAACGGCTGCCAACCGCTTGATAGAATGTGGCGCGTCTCTCTCTCTCGCCGCGGCTCTGGGCGAACGCCCACGGCAGCATATTGATACCGTATCTCGAGATATTCCGGAGACGATGGAAAGCGATAATATTGCCAAGGCGGTCCGGGAAATTGCTCATATGGCTACTTTCTATCCAAAACAGCTATCCGATCTTGGAATGAGGTGCGAGGGAGTGTTGTCGGGCGGTGTCATTACCGCGAAAACAGAGAAACAACAACGGATAGCCGCTCTCCGCGTGTTCGGATTTACCGCATTCTACGCATTCAGGCACGTAGAGCATTCAACCGTCCTAATAACCAGGACTCTTCTATCCCTCCTTTTGATGGTCCGCACACGATATCGTGACATAGGCGAGTATCAAACATCAAGAACAGCCGGTAGCGAGGAGCTCCTCACCAACGACACTTCGCAGATCGGTGCAGCTCTAAATACGAAGGACGACTTGATACCCCTTATCTTGGATGTGATAGCCAAATGTCCAACCACGTCCGACAATATCCAGCTGGACGGCACTGCCAAGGAGCGCCTGCTGGAGCTACGTATCTCAAAGCCCCGATCTGGGAAGCGCTGGATGGAATTGAAGAGCACGCTTGGAGAGGGAATTTTATTGGCAGGGAGCCCCTTGGCGTGGGGCGCACTTCCAATTTCGAGGTCCCCATTTCTCCAATTTGACATCCTTCCAGCCGTTGAACACGGGACCGATGATGAGTTTTCTCAGTTGAAGGACCTCCTCCTATCAACTAAATTCTCATGGCTGAAGACAATGTGCTCAAGGTTCGGCGGACTCGTTCTCCGCTTCAAGACCCTTGATCCCAATCTGGGATTGGCTGAGTGGCAAGCCCTCCAGGGAGAAGTGTCTGAGACAGTCGAAAGAGCTTTTGGGGGCCTATCTCTGCTTCGTGAAGCAGCAGCTGAGTCGTCGGCGAGAAGGGGCCATGCTGGCCAAGCTCTTCCCATGCTCCTCGATTATTTGCCTCAACCAGAGGAACTAAGCGAGCAGGCTAGGAGGATGCGGGATATGCTTGTGACGAGCATTCGAGACGCCATACTACAACTTGGTGAGGAGGACGAGATGGGGGACTGGGATGCCGAGCTAGGGCTCATGAAGGAGGCGTTGGACAAGGCCTCAGACAAATTCCTAGAAGCCTATCGCTCGTCTCTAAATGAGGGAAAAGTTAGCGAGGAGTGCGCAGTTAACATCACGAGGGTACGGCTTCGCCGAGCTACGGACATGTTCTGCGAGATAGTTTTAGACATCTGGAAATCAGCTTTTCTATCATCGAGCGCCGAGAAGGAAGGCGGATTTTGCGCACAGGCGGAAAGGATAAAATCGGATTTGGTCCCGGCTTTTACTAAAATCTTTTTCTAAATCAATGTCATGATAGATAGGTAAGGCAGATAAGTAGTATTGATAATATCGGTTAAGAAGTACTTATTTAAGCATAGAAATATAGTTATTGCTAAGCGATGTAAAGCGCGATAGGGGAACAGGCCAAAGTTATACGTAAATATAATAGTAAAGATGATGTGTGTTCTTTCTGACATGGCGGCGAGTGGAATTGCTGTCTGTGGGCTGCGTGCCCCGTAGCAGTAGCTGCTGGCATGGGGCACCCTGTTTCCAGTAACAGTGCCCCTCGGTAGCAAAAAGAAGTAGCTGATGCCGCTTAGCTTATACTAGAATCTGAGGGAAGAAAAGACTACTAAATAGTATTCTCTTTAAGATGATGCTGCTAGTTAGCAAGAAATTGGCGGTGCTTTTCCTCGGATTCCTCGAATATCTGCTATATTTCTGCTCTAATGGAGCTCGCTGCTAGCTGAACTGGCAGTGAAATAGCTGGCTTGGCTGGCTTTGCAATGATGGCCGGCTTCCGTTTTTGAGCCTACTACCGGCGCTTTTACACTAGGATCAAATACTAGACAACTTTCTATAAAATAAACCATTTTAAGAAGCGCCGGGTCCGTTGCGAAAACCTACTAAGGTGATTAAAATACTATGACCACTTAGGAGTATATCTACGTGAACTACTGCCTCCTATAGCAACTCTAGATAGGGCAAATTTCAAGTGCGTGGGAATAAAATGGTTAGCAATATCTGCCCGGAGGCCCTGGAGGCGACCGTTGGAGGTGCAGTGGATCTATACTAAAAGTCAATTCCCATGATAGATTCAAGCACAAGGCTCGCCAGTGTTAAATTCAAACAAGGACAAGGAAGATGCTGCGTCGCCGACAAGCGGCGCTTGATGGAAGTCCCATTGGGTGCCCGCCACTCCCTTGGAGGTATTCGATATCCCAAAACAAACATCGCATCTAGATCATGACGCTCGCAACGTAGAGTGTGAGGAGGTGCTTTTCCACGGAATGGCCAATTTCTGGGACTTCGCCGTACGGCGTTTCCGTCACCTCCTTGACATCGCAAGGCTAACGGCCGGCGCTGGCCCCTACATCGAACCCGACATGATATTTCTCCGGCCTCACACCGTCGCAGATGCCGTCGTATCCTACGCGCGCTTTGTGAAAACCCGCACACATTATTTCCCTTTGCATACTTCAGCGTGCTTTTCGAGGCGATGGAGTCGAGGTTTTGATTTCTGGAAGGGTGGGCAGGTAGCTTGTTGCGGATGCCGCTTTCAGGTCGGCGCGTTATGGGGAGTTTGGGGAGTTGATGGATGGCCGGACGAGCAGGTATTGGGACAACAGCCCCTTGCATTACGTACTAATTGCCCTATTTTATTTCAGTTCCCGTACTCGTAACTAAAGAAGGCAAGAAGATATTGTTTTTGACTTCTGTCAATCTAAAGGGCTGGTATTTAACAGCTCCTGACGGCGACGTAGCCCAGTAGTAGACTTCCTGAAGTGATCCAAACACTAGAAATCGCAAACGCTCCCTGGACATCTCCCTTGAAGATGGTCCACAAAACGCCAAATATAAGGCTGCCTGTTAGCAATAGGAAAACGACGACGAAATAAATAGACCTCCAGTGCCAGCCCTCCTCGAAACGAAGGCCCCAGCCTAATGCGGATTCCTCGTGAGACGCTGAGAGACGGCCGCACACCCGCTTGGGTAGTTGATTGTAGATTGTCTTCTGAGATTCGGAGAGGCAGTGGGGGCTTTTGAAATAATGAATCAGGTAGTTGCTTCCGAAGACAGGAATATGCTTGGGCTTTTGCTCCGGCGAGGGGCGACACCGGTATTCCTCGCCTATCCTCTCCAGCGGGGGCAGGCATACGCAGTCTAACGCACACGACTTATCATGCACGTAGACTTAAGCGAACTGACTAGAATCAACCTCGAACTAGAACTTCCATTAGTAGTCCATCTACTATTGCCCAGAAGCAACGGCTGTGTAAGACATTGTGTGACAGGGACATTTACATACTCTGCTGACGAAGATTTGCGAAACATGGCGTAACTTGAGCCAAGAAAGTACGTGCCTGTGCTTGTAATACTCTTCCTTCAGGAACAAAACTAGGTCATAGTCGGTGCTGATGTGCTGTAGATGTTCTTGGCGAAGTCTGGTTCCACTTTCATCATTGGTAATACAGTATAAAAGATGGAAGGATATCTTTCTGGCTGCTTTTCAGGCTGTCGGTGTGGTGTTGAAGGGTATGTAGCGGTAATGCGCCATCTTCATCGGAAGTCCAACCACACATTGACCAGAGCACATGCTTCAAGAATTTGTTGGCACGTCCGATACTTTCCGCCAAGTTCCTCGTATGCTGCTTGGCTGTCCGAGTGTCATTGGTGGACCTCAGCTCAGCTTCCAATGTATGCAAAGCGCCGGGTTCAAGTTCTGTGAAGTCATCGTAAAGGGATGTGCCACATTTCTGCGGCGCCATTAATAATAAGAACATCTGGGTTCGAACATATTGCTACTTACGCAGGTCCATCTAACACGGCCTTTGCCTGGAGGAAGGGCCGGTTCCCACAATGCTGTTGGGAGAAACCAGAAAGCGTAGTCGACGAAATCGGGAAGAGAAGACGTGAAAAGCCCTTGGGCTATTAGTTATGAACGTGGGGTGCTTCGGACTTCTCCATACTCACCTGACAGCTTCTGCACTCGTCTTGTAGCCTTCGTCGATATAGGTTATTTGTCTCCGAATGGCTCGCAGCTCCGCCTCCGGGCGCTTCTTCTTCCAGCTGCCTCTTACGTGGCGAGATAAAATTCCTCAGTCCGGTTTTTAGGTTCTCAAGAGGGGCCCCTGATCTCAAGAACTCCTTGACCTCTTCCAAAGCCGTCATAATCAAATTTTCGTCGGTTCCCGGTTCTAGAGATATCTCAGAAGTATCATCATTCTCCGATTTGCTGCTTTTTGCCTTGTTATCTTGTTCCCCAGTACGGTTTTCCCGGAGATCCGAACCGAGTCCAACGTCACCCGAAGTATGATAGTGCTCTTGCAGAGCCTCGAGATAATCGTTGAGTCTTTTTTGCCTCCATGATTTTTCGTTTGGGTCATCGGGCTTTAGAAAGCTCTTGTAAAAGGGCTCTGGCTGAAGTTGCCGTCGCACATTCTCGGAAATATACGGCGCACTCTTCTCGATCAGTTTAACGGTCTCTCGGAGTACTCTATTGTCAGCAGCTACAAGTAGCTCTCGCGAAAAATCGACCAGCAGCCTTCGAAAGTTTCTCTCTAGTCTATCGCCGCCGATATTTGGATCTTCGATCGCGGCAGTGAAGAGCTGCTTTAGATCGATATCGCATAGAAAGAACTCGACGATCCCGTCTTTTGCAGAATTTATATTCTCCCACGAGACTTTCGACAACCCAAATTCGTCGCTCGCAGGCTTAAACGATGCCTGGTCGAAACTTTCCGGCTGGGAGCCCAATTCCGAACGTCCGATGTCCTTTTCTTTTCCCCTAGAGAGCCGCTCCAACATTCTTCTCCGCTTCACCCAGTTTGCCCCGAGATTTGTTGAGAAGGCCCAACATGCGGACAGCGTCGAGCGTAGATGGGTGATAAGGACCCCATCTCCTCTCATATCCCTCTAATGCCAATGCGAACATCACCTCTGCCTCATCGAGTCTTTGCCATACGTTGTTGACGGGCGGCGACGGGGATGGTGAATCGGTTACTGAGAATGCCTCCACAAACTCTCTCCGATATCCAATCTAGCATTTACGAAGTCTACTCCCATTACTTAATTTGATACGCACTAATTATATCCTCAAGTGCTGTAATACTCTTCGATATCATCTCCCTCTACCACTAATAGAGCCTCAGCTATCCGCCTCAATAGGGTCGTCGCACGAAGAAGCCATCGAGTAGTGTCGGTGACAGCCGGGGGTTTGTGAGGGCCATCACTGCCAATCAGCCTCCGCGGGCGCTGTTACGCTCCAACTACACTCCGACCGACACGGTTGCCCGAAATCTCGATTTACAGCCAATAATCGACTTTGTAACGTGAAATACTAGAACTGCCCCTCCATGCGCATTAGCTGGCCCCGGCCAGTCAGTAGCCAATTGCGGCGACCTTCACATCGATTTATGTGCAGGATCTATGAGGAAGGGCGACTTCGAGACACGGAATGTTTCACTCCGCCAACCCCGCCTGTGATTCTGGGCCGAGACGCCTTCATTCTTCAGGCCTCACAGGAGAGAGCTTCACACTTGTGTGGACGGAAGGAGGCAGGTGCCTGGCCACAATGGTTCGAGTGTCCTATTTTTTTCTTCTTTTTCTTTTTTTAGCACGTATCCACTTCTGTGTTGCAGCATTGCTGGAGGCTTCCATCACATCATCTGGTCTCTTATCTGGCCCATAACGATGGTATGGCTGATGGAGACGATTGCGCCAGTTCTAAGCCTCCCCACCATCACGGCCGACGCGAGCTCTGGCTCGCCGTTGGTCCCCGGTTGGAAGTGCGTGCCCACGCTCCCATGCTGGACGCAACGGTCTCCTTTTCCTTTCCCTCGCACTGCATATCAGCCCCCCACCTACAGGATTCAAAAGGACCAAGAAGCACCCTGGCACATAATCAACCATATTAACCGAATGCAAGAAGCCACACCCGCGGCATAGCCGAGTGGCTCTGCTCTGTGTTGGTTCTGTGTTGGTTCTGTGTCTGTCTGGTGGCCTAGAAATTGCACCAACAGCTCAGACAGGAAGAATGCCTGGGGGTGTGGCCTACAAGAGACCACCTACCAGGGAGGCCGCTAGCTACGTATTCATTAGAAGCAACAGCGCCTTGACGGCTAGTATAAGATGGACGGGGGGGATTACGTCCACGATTGCTCGATTCCTCGTTGGCCAGGAAACTGTCAGGTCACTTGACATCAACTACCAACATGGCCAGTCTAAATTCTTCTTTCCTTGTCCCTGCTCAAAGGGACGACACTTTCGTGTTCCGGTCCGGCAGCCGGCTGCGTCAGCTC